GCACTGCTTTTAGGGCTGCCCAGGAGCACGGGGAGGAGCTGGCCGTGCTGGGGGCATGTAGCCCGTGACAGCCCAGCCCCTGTCTCCTCCCCATGTGGCACAGGGCTCTTTTGCTGACATCGTTACCTCGCCAGCCCCAATCTGCTCTATCAGCCCCTGCAATTACCCCACTCGGACACTTGCCAGCTGCCACCTCATGGGCCAAACCAGCCCCGCTCCCTTCTCATTATCTCCCTGGGAAGAGGCCACGCAGCGTGACAAAGGCTGACTGCAAGTGCCCTTCATGCCACAGGTCTGGCCCAAGACCTTGGATCGGCGTGGCCCCGTGCCTCCTTGGCAGAGTCACAGGGAAGAGCAGGGGCCTGGCGCTGCCCTGCAAAGGCCTCCCAACCATCAGCCCCTGCCTGTCGAGCCATCTGCTGTGATCTGCAGAGGCGCCGGATTACGAAACGCCAAATCAAAGGCACTCCTCTGGGCCACTGCCTGCTCAGCACTGTGCCTCACTCGGTCTCCATCCACCTGCAGGCGTTGGCCATTGGCCTCTGCAAGTCAGGGAGAGAAAGACCCCTCGCGCTTTTCCCCGTGGTGCCCAGAGAAAGGAGCGCAGACCCCTGCTTGGGCCCACTTTGGCACAGGCTTTTGTCAGCACGGCCCCAACCCCTCAGGCCCTTTGCCCATTGGCCCTGGACTCCCATTGCTCGGGGTGATGCCATCCTTTAGTCCAGCAAGCAGACTGGGGAGAAAAGGCTCGGAGGTGCAATGTTGCTGAGGGACTTTTTACAAGGTTATATAGTGATAAGACAAGGGGCAATGGCTTTAAACTGGAAGAGGGGAGATTTAGATTAGATAGAAGGAAGAAATGTTTCACTCTGAGGGTGGTGAGGAACTGGAACAGGTTTCCCAGAGAAGCTGTGGCTGCCCCATCCCTGAAAGTGTTCAAGGCCAGGTTGGTTGAGGCTTTGAGCAACCTGGTGTAGTGGAGAGTGTCCCTGCCCATGGCAAGGGGGTTGGAACTAGTTGATCTTCAAGGTCCCTTCTACCCCAAAACGTTTTGTGATTCTATGTGCTGATGTGGCCAGGGGATTTTGAGTCAGGGAGGGGCAGGAGCTGTACAGCCCTGTCATGGCATTGGCAGGAGGGAGTGTGTCCTGTGCAGATTGGCCCAGGTGGTGCTGAACACTGGTGGGGCCGCTATAAAAAGTGTGCCTCTGCTGGGCTCTGCCAGTCACTGCTCTGGCTGCCTTCTCCTCAGAGAACAGGGTAAGTCTGCGAGCGCTTCTCCTCCTGCCCCCTGCTCTACTCCCGGCCCAGGCACCTCAGGCGCTCACCTCTGCTGATCTCTG